GAAATATAGTTTTGAAAATTATTTTATATAGACAACTTTTTATGCTTTACAAAATGATGAAATCGAAATTTCTAAAGAATGTTCACGAAAAGTAGAACAGACTGATTTTGGGGGTCAATTTTCGATAAAATCGACTTTTCAGCCTGCTCTACTGGAGTTAGCGCACGATTTGAATAAAACCTAAATATCAATTCCTACACAACCCGACGAGGGCTACAAAACTAGCATAGTGAAATCTTGCCGGCAGAATGTTCTGTAAAAAGTGGGCGGAGCTGCGTGGAACTACCCATAATCTTTAATTTATTTCTTAAATATCTATAGAAGTAAAAAGTCAATATTCTTATTATGATAATAGACAAATTCAATGCTATTCTTGTAGCGATTGTCCTGAGCCATTCTTTCATTTACATGCTCAAATAACAATAACACCACCAGATTTTGGTGAATGCATGGTATTCTATATAATATTCATTTAAATTTAAATAAAATATTTTTATATAGAAAACGGTGATTTATATGCCGACAACACGTCGATATCTAATAAGTAAAGGTTTTTCACGTAATTGTATATCAGAATGGACAAACAATGTACGTGTTTATTGTTGTCATTATAATCTTTGTAATAGAAGCGATCTTCTACAACAATCAGTATTTTTTCTTATTTTTTTATTTATAATTATTTTATTTAATTCGATTCTATTCTATAATTAACGTTTGAAAAGAAATAAGTATAAACTATCATTGATCTTATAATGAAAACAAAGAAGTTTTTTGGTTAGTTTTTTTTTTTTTTTCATATTTGAACAATATTAAATAAATAATATCGTTTCACTGTCTATGTCTATTGAAAAATAACTAAACAGGAAATATCGCTAATCATCATATTCAATTTGACTCTTCATATATTTACTTGTACATTAAGTCTTATAATAAGTAAAAAGTTTAAAATTAGTCATGCTTATCGAGTCATTGAGTATAGATTTTCTGTGTTCTATATAAAAATAAAAAAGTTCTTTATCTTACACATTCAAATATAGACAAAGAAAACTAACAAATTTCAACGCATTGAGAGTAAATTAAGTTTATCAAAATTTATTTCTATTCAAAATGCAAAGTTCCACTTGTTTATGTTATTCGAGTAGATTTTTCATAATTTTTAATTATACTTTCATTTATTTATCAATGATTTTTACAAAATTATCTTACTTGTCAATTAATGTGACACAATTAGTTAGACATTATATCACATTTACTTCTTGTTTTTCATTTATATTTTTGTCATATCATTCTATAAAATGTCATAATATTTCTTTTTTTTTGTTTTGTTTTTTACTATAATAAATAAAGTTAATTATCATCGATCCAGTTCTTATGAGATTGAATGCTACACGAATGAAATTACATTACATTAGTCAACTAATTCATTTTTCAGTCGATATTAATAGATTTTTATTGAACATAGCAATTTTTCTTTGTTCTATAATGTGAAATAATTCATATGATATTTATTTTCATGGAAATTCATAAATAAGAAGTAGAAGGTTAAACATATATATCAATATAATTTAACATGAAATAAAAGTCGATAATAGGAAATTGTAAATATATATTTTTATTTAATTTCTGAATTCAATTTTTTTCTTAATAATTATTCTAATGTAAGTAAGAATAACTATATGATTATTAAAGAAAAATACGAAAAAACAAATAATTGAAAAAAAATTTATTTAACTTTACAAATTTGATTAAAATAATGTCAAATGATATTTAAAATAACATTGAATTATGTATTATAATATTGAGGAAAAAAACTTCATTATTTATCTAAAGAATAAATTTTTCATAATATTTCTTGAAATTTATATAGATATATAGATTTATATTAATATTGATTTAAGTATACAATATATATACATGTTATTAGTTTATATAGATATTTATTAGATCAGCTTTTTTTTTTATATATTCTAAGAGTATTATTGCGTTTATAATTAATAATTTATCTTTTATGCTGATATGTATAATAGATTCCTAGTTATATATAGATGTATTGATTATGAATAGATTTTTTAAAACTATATTTGGAATTATAAATCTTTATTGGAGTCAAAAGCTAGATGAATGTTGTTATTCGGATGAATAAATAGTTGGGCATCATGATTAAAGTTTAAAACTAGATTAGTCTTGTTATTAGGGAAATGAACTGTAATAACAATAGAATCAGTTCATTATCGTAAACCAATAATTTCTCCACCATTACATATCACTAGCGAAAGGTGGTTGTTACACGATTTGAAAGAGAACACTATTAGGATACAGTGGTGTAGCCAGAAATTTTCTAAGAGGTGCCCGCCCGACTCATTATGGAGGGTGCACGCCAGTAGCAAAATAAATTATTGTTTCTCGGAAAGATTTTTCATCAGTACCCCCTTCCAGATGTTTCTTGGCTAAGGAGAGAGTAGCTGGGCACCCTGTGCATACCCCCTGGCTATGCCCCTGTTAGGATAATGCATATGTAAAAATATTTTCAATCGAGTGTAAAATATTTGTGAACCGAATCAATCAAGATATGTTATTTGTTTTAGTGTTGTTATTAGGGGCATTTATTCTATGTATATTGGAAAAAACCAACATACATAAATCGCGAAAGTTAGACAATTTATGTGGTTTTTACAAATTGGTCATAACCGCAGCATGAGCTATTATTTGTTACTCGAACCTTGATTGTCCCTATTCTCACAGCGGTATTTTCGCATCATGGATTTGATCGGTTTGTAACAACGAAATAAATTATCTGACTTTGGCGTTTTTATTCGAATTTTTTTTGTTGATGGGTAGCCTGATATTGATAAATTATAAGATTAATTGACCAATTGATTATTATTCATCTAGAGATAATAATTCGATCCGAACTGATAAACATACCCAAAAACCGTTGATACGTCTTTCTATTTGCACCTATCGACAGCTGGACATTGATACGACACATCCGTGACGAATTTTCCGATGATCTATTTTATTGTTTTTCTTAGTTTGATCTATTTAAATAATTAATTTGTCATATTCGATATATTTTAATATTTGTTCTAAAATTATTTCATTTTTTGAATAGAATTCACAATTATATGTATAGACAAAATATGTTCTTGAGAATATTTTTTCAATTTGAAATAGAAAATAAAAGCATAATGATGATATATTTCTCTCGTTTACAATCATACTAAGTTATGAATTTAAAAAAAAAAATTATTATTCACCGTCTGTAAGAATAGTGATTAGACGTTCTCTTAAGTCACGAAAACGTGGTCGCATTGCAACATTATATGTTAAACAAGGAAGAATAATGTGCGTATATATTTCATTGGATCCAAAGTGTTCTGGTTGTGGAAGAAAACGACTAAGATTTTCTGAAGCATTTTTTAAAAGAATATGAACAGCAAAATTGTTGATACTTCCAAATGGTCTTTCACCCAACGTATAGATTTCCCAAAGAGTTATACCCTATTATAATAAAAAAACCGAAATGAAAATAATATAAAGAATAAAATAATTCATACATAACTCCAGACATCTGAACGAGAAGAATATTTCGATGAAAATAATCCTTCAGGTGACGTCCAACGTGGAGCACATACGGAACGACCAGTACCTTTGTACAATCCACATTCAGTCAATCTTAATTATAATATTTAAATATTTTATTTTGTTAATATGAATAAATAATTTAAGAAAATAAATAAAAAAAAACCCAAAACTTACGTAGTTAAACCAAAATCTCCAACTTTAAGTTTATCTTCTTGTCCAATTAAACAATTTCTTGCTGCTAAATCTCTATGAATAATATTTCGTTCTTCTAAATATAACATAGCTTCAAATATTTGTCTTCCAAATTTATTTAATTTTTTTGTTATAGTTTGAGAATCTGATTTTAAAAAAATTTCTCGACGTTTTCTCAAATAATTTAATAAAGAACCATTTTTCATAAAATCTGTAACTAAACTTAATTGTTGTTTATCTCCAAAAAAAGTAACACCAAGTATACGTAAAAGATTTGGATGTTTTAATTGTGTCATTCTATGTGCTTCATAAAGTAATTCTTGCATATTTTCATCATAAGTTTCAACAGAATATTCTGATGTTTTTTCATCTGGACTATATAAAGTTTTTAATGCAACATCACGTGTACCTTTGTATAATGCATGATAAACAATACCAAAATTACCTTTGCCTATTTCACGAACATTCTATTTATAAATAATAAAAATATATTGAAATATTTTCAAAAATAAATTTTCAAACTTTTAAATAATATAAATAAATAAATTTATTTCTAAAAGATTCTTTTCAATAGTCTAATATATTATTCTTAAGTTAGATCTATCTGCAATATTTAAACTTAAATTACTTCTCAATATTCTCAAAAGAATTTATTATATTAATTTATCACTATGAAAAATAGTATTGATTTAGAACTTCTAATAGAGAAACATTTTAATGAGAATAGTTTATTATCAATATTTAAGATAATGTTCTTTTTTTTTTCTATTATTAAATATGAGAATATTAAATGTATATTATTCTTTAACGTCGTCTATCATAGACACTATTAAACTATCACAAAATATAGTCATAAGTAAAAATTAATTTTATATTTATAAAGATTCGTTGGTTAATCATAAATTTAACTTTTATTTTTAGATAATTTCTGTTATATTTAATAATAAAAGAATGAAATTAAAATAAATTCTCTTAAATATGTTGTGATATAATACGAAAAATTAATAATAATTATATATTTGATAAATAATGATGTTAATTAACTATAATAACATATCGATTATTATTTATTTTCAGAAATTTAATTTTAAATTAGATTTTTTTTGTTTTTCTTTCGAAATAATATTTGGTTTGGTTTTTTTTTTCTGTTTAAATTCTAGATAATAAAACTAATAAAAAAAATCTAATGTAAAATCTTATTTTTAACTTGAATAAAATCAATATAAAAAAAGAAAATAAATTACTTGAAATTCATGTGATTCAATCAAAACAAGTTGAAGATTTGGTGAAATTTTTTTTCTTGTTGATTTTAAAGGAAATATTTGATGAACATTATTTGTCGATGATGATTTTTCAATAATATGATTTTGATTTTGATTTTGATTTTGATTTTGATTTTGAGATGATTGTGTAGATATTTGAGAAATTGGTGATTGATTTTGTTGTTTTCGTTTTGCATGACTATTTAATAATTGTTCAGCTGTAATAACAGTTGTTGAATATAATAAATTATCAGTTGATCGACTTTTTCGTAAAGAAAGTTGTTTTTTTTGTGTATTTGAATGAGTAGAAGGTTTTTTTCTTCCAAGTTTATTAGTTAATGGTAATTCAATGACTTCTTCTTGTTGATCAGATTTATCATCACAAGATAAAGATGTTAATTGATGATGTCTATGAAAATTTGATATTTCTACACCAGAAGCAAGTAGCGTATCATTACTAACAACCTTTAGTTGATGATCACGTTTTCGACAAGGTCGACTGCTTGTTGAATAAGAGTTTTGTTCATGTGTAGATGAATATTGCTGTTGCTGTTGTTGTTGTTGTTGTTGTTGTTGTTGATGTTGTTGATGTTGATGTTGGTATTTTTGTACCGATATTTTCGAACCCATCAGTAATTTTATTTCTTCACAAAATGATTTGAATACGTAAAAGAGAAAAGGAAGGAAGAAAAAAATGTCTCATCATTAAAAAGTCAAGCGAGTGTGACCAACATACTTTTTATCGATTAATGATAAAAATATTTTTCCTTCCTCACCTCGTGTTTTTATTGATGCGACAATAAAACAACATAGGATTTATTCATCAATATATCTAGAGACTTAAACATTTTTTTTCTTTCTTTTATCATAATCAAAGTCAAATATTCTTACTTTTGTTTTATTTCTTCATGTAATTAAAGATCAAATTAGTGTTCGAACTGATGAGGAAAAATCCCCAACTGATCAATCTCTTTTGTCTTGAGACTTTGTACATTATGTAGGTACAAATTAATTATGAATTACACTAAAAAAGTTCGGGCTGATAGCTTATCGCTACGGAGATACGGCAGTTTTATGGTATGTTTTTAAATAAATGCCGTGGTCTCCCTCGAGAAAACCAAAAAAAATGATTTTCGATTTTCGAATTTTGACTTGAAACTTTCCATAGAAAGAGATCTTACTGAGAATAATGTTTTGTGATAGTTTCAGATCTTGTCGCTGTTTCTATCCGTAGGTAGAACTATGGTAACTTCATTGAAATAAATCAGAAGCTTTTATATGTTCTCATTTCAGAATAGGAACAGCTACAAGATCTGAAACTTTCATAAAACACTTTTCTCAGTAAGATTTCTTTCTATGGAAAGTTTCAAGTCGAAATTCGAAATTCGAAAATCATTTTTTTGGTTTTCCTAAAGAGGATCACGGTATTTATTTAAAAACTTATCGTAAAAGTGCCGTATCTCCGTAGCAATACGTTGGCAGGCCGAACTTTTTTCAGGGTATTCATAACTCATTTGTACCTATATAATGTACAAAGTCTCAAGACAAAAGAGATTGATCAGTTGGGAACCTTCCCTCGTGAATTGTCAAACCGAACAGTTCGATTCTAATGACTTTCGAAAACTAATTTCGTTCACCAGATCTTTTTTTTATTAATTTTTCATGGAAGTGAAAATAATCTATTATGATCGTTTTTATCTATTTTGATGAGTTTAAAGTTTGAAAACTGTGAATTTGAAATTTTCAAATTGTAAAATATCTATTTATCATGAAAATTTCAACTGACGAATTGTTATTATACAAAATGATTAATAAATAATTTTCGAAAAAAACTACTTTAGTAAGTTAATTAATATTATAAATGAACCGATTTTTTGGTTGATATTTTTTCTGTTAAGTCAAAATTTTCAAACAATAAATTTATTCGATTTGAAAAGATCTAAAGTATTCCAAATATCGATTAAATTCTTTAGTTTTTATCTTGAAATTCAGTCAATACTCTTTCTTTCAATTAATAGAACGATAAAAAGACTTTTAACAGAGTTAAATGATAAATAGTTATTATTTGTTTTTTATATCAGAAAAAAATCATAGACAATTTATTTGTTTTGTTTTTTCTGGTTACTTTTACAATTATCTTTTTACCGTTGATATGATTTCTTAACAACCGAATTTAACATTAAAACAGATAGATTTTATGTTTATTTGCCTAATTTCTATAATCTATTTGACGAATTCTTCTTTCTTTTCTCTTATTCGTTTTATGATTAATTTCTTTTTCTATTTATTATATATTAATATCATTAATTATTGTCAAAAGTTCGACAATAAAAACTTAATGTTGCATGTTTATTCGAATTATAAGAATAAAACATACAAATCTTGATAAATTATCAAACAAATTGAATTGAAACTATAATGAAAATAATTATATTTTTATATAAATAATGTCAAAATTCTATTTAGATTAGAGATTTATTCTATGATCAATTTTTAAAAAATCAAATGAAAAATAATTTATTTTTATTATTTCCTTTTCTTAACAAGAAAAGAAAAAATTTGTTTATAAAGATTATCTGAAGTTCTATGTTGAAATATGATCTATTTATATATTTA